CAACAAAAAAGAAAACGATTAATCGATTATTAAATTAGGCATCGATTATTTTAATAATCTATTAGTCGTCGATTAATCGATTAATCGTGGCAGCCCTAGAGGAGACTAATATTTTTCATCATAATTTCACAAAGGAAAAGAAGATTCTAGCACAGTCCATGGATAAAAGGAGAAGTTTCCTACCTGGAGGCAGAGTCTCCGAGTCGTGGGTCTTATCTTCAGAACTCTGAGGTCTGTTCCTGATGACCGAGTTAGAGATCCACTCATCCTGAAGGCAAACAGAAGCACACATTAACTTTCTCATATACACASAGGATCACAAGTCCAACAGAACTGGATGAACTTAGTAAAAGATAAAAAACTTCAGCAGACAGATATCTAATAATTACTTATTAAAGATACATAAATAGTGGATTCCAGAAAATATTTAATTTTTACATGGTAAGAAAACCTCGGACAAAAACGTGACTAAAATCACAGAAGGCATATCCTTCACTACCTGATTTGTTTTTATCAGTGGTAGGCATATTTCTGCTAACAACAGCGGAACAAATTTTTCATTTAGCAGATTTGCTTTTTTGCTACCTTTGAAACCATTAGCAGACTAATTAGCTTCCACTAAATTAGGTTTTGCCAACTTTCAGTCCGCTAACAGCTAAACAACAAACTAGCATCAGGTTTGTGTCAGTCCCACCAGACTGAGTGACAGTTGTCTTAGCGGTTAGCAATCAGCTGCTGGTGTTAGATTCTGGTCATTTTTACTTGTTTAGCTATTTAGCGCTAACTTCTGTTAACCGAAGTGGGAACTTGTTTAACTGCTTTTGCTAAATTCTTTTTTACATGTTTAGAGGTTTAGTGTTAGCTAAGCTATTTTTTTATGAGTTAGTGCAGCTAATTTTTTTGTTAGCTGTGCCCACCACTGGTTTTTATAAAATATCTGACAATCAGTATAACAACACAGAGTTCAGAAGTAATTTCCTTTTTTTAATATGTAAATATGTAATAAAAAATTTAAAAAAAATTTAATATGTAAATAAACACATACAGACTTTCTTGAATTATTTCATCACAAACAATTGTATTTTATCTTGTTATCCATTCATTCAGTTTTGTTACAAAGAAATAGCTCCAAACACACCTTTACAACCAAGGGAACCCATTTTCAAGCCATCCATCTTTCTGACCGTATTAAAAACCCACTGGATCGATACTCTGGGAGGCAGCGCAATTAGCAGCATTTATATCCTGTCCAGCTTGCTGCTTTTAGCTAAATAAAACTAACGTTAAACTTCTTTTTTTTACTCAATAGTACCATTTTACCTTCACCCTCTTCAAGATGACCTATTGATCCATGTTCTTAAGAATAATTTAGATAATTCTGTTCTTCATCCTATTTGAATTTAACAGAGGAAAAAGTACCTGATTTGTTTTGTTTTGCTCTTGCCTAAACCACTCTAAGTAATATATCTCACAAAAACTACATTTCAGGACAGATGAGTATCTGTAGTCAGATGATGAAAGTCAGTGTCTGATGGAAAGCTGGGATTATTCTACCCGAATAAACACAGGAAGTGATTGTGCACATTTTTAATCATCTAGGACATGACAAACCCTAAGGGTTTGAAAACAAAACAACAATACTTCTATTTGTTAGAAGTGCTAAGCTTTTAAATCGTAGCGACCCTATGACTGAGGAAATATCAGATTGAGATTAACACATGAGCTTTAAGCCTCTGAATCTTGATTTAAAGTATTAATTTCCACAATACATACCGCTATTGGTAAATATTTTAGATGTATAATCAGTTTATTGTTAAATTCTCAACATATAATTCCTTAATGTGAAGCTTTTATTCTTAAAATTAAATTCATTGATGTCTAGTTTGTTATACATTTTATCCAGCCACCCATCCAAACAAAAATACATCAGTTTTTTTCCCAACACGCCTGAATGCATCACAGTCCATAGCTCAGTCCAACTCCATAAAAAGTTGCATACAGAGAAACGCCACCTCTTGAGAGAAAATCCTCCCCGCAGCTGATTGTGTGTGCGGCTTCAAATGAGGACGACCAACGAGCAAAAGCTGATCTGGGCGAGAGCTCAGAGAAGCTGCATCTTCCCACAGCACTTCACAGAGGAAGCAAACAGCTCCGCCTGGCAGCTCTTCCACACGGTCGTGACCGGAAAAATCCAATTTTCATCAACCGACTTTAATCTCAGCCTAAAGTTGTGTTAAATATCCCCACTCAGCTTTGAGCTTAAAGGAGACTCATAATAGTAAAGCAGCRGTCTTTGTACAGCAGGCTTTTCTGTTAAGTCATCTGTGTGAACACGCGCTATAAACGCTTTCACATTTTGACTTGACAAAGAAATGAAAAAGCCCAGCTGTGACTAACAATATTAACTATTTGAGTAGTGGTAAGTGATGATGGTGTGGGAATCAGCCTGCGGCGTTTTAAACACCACAACCATGAGACTGAAGCGACTTAATTAAATTCAGCCATTACAAGTTAATTATTTACTTGCACTACCATGACCTAGAGCTCTACGTTATGAGTTAAACCTGTAATTTAGAAGTCAAATTGYCAAATGTCAACCGTTTAAAGCAACAGGCAGATGAAGAGGAGGATGCAGGCGGGGTGGAAAAGACAAGGTTTACAAACAGGACGGTACTGAGACCTGCTATGACGTATCGTTTGGAAACTAACGCCAACAAAAAGATGGGAGGCGGAGCTGGAGGTGGCAGAGATGTTGGGATTTTCACTGGGAGTGACCAAAATAGACAGGATTAGGAATGAGTTCATCAAAAGGGAYGGCTCAGGTTGAGGAGTTTGGAGACAAAGTGAGAAGCTTAGATGGTTCGGACACGTGCAGAGGAGGGTTAGTGAGTTTATTCAATGTTGAATATAGAGCTGACGGGGAGGAAGAAAAGAGCTGCTGTGGCTCAGGTGAGCAACTACAGGTAACACATAAAGCAAAACTAAAATATTTTTTAGACATCACTCCAATTTTTCCAAACTGAGGTCTTAAAGGGAAACAATGTTCTACAAAATAGATCATTTTTGTTTTAAAGTGTGCAAAAAGACCCAACAAAAACACTAGAGCTGCCATCCAGATATTGTTTGAGCATCATCATCATCATAATGTACGTGGTGACATCGCAGGACCTTCCAGTTAAATAAATGTTATCTAAAGATTAAACCACTAAACCATAAGTCATTGCACTAAACGGTTGAGTGTTACAGCTTTTATTTCGATGTGTTGCTTCTGCCAGTGGAAGTGGGCGGCTTTAAAAAAAAAGATAAAACTTTAATTTTTCGATGAAACTTCAGGGAAATGTTGGAGAATTTTATAGCTGTGGAGATCGATTATGGATGATCTTGACGAAAATGAGGAAGATGAGCAAATTCGTAGAGAACTGAAGGAAAAGAGGTAAAATGTGGTTAGCATGAATGCTAATATTAAAGCGTGACAGAAACAGACACTAAGATAGGCAACAGGTTAGGAGGTAAAATGCTATTCAGGTTTGCACATGACAGAAAGAAGCATGCATTTTGGTCCCAGCACAATAAAAACAACTAAAAGATAACAAACTAAAACATACTTATAGCATAAATAAAAAAAGGTTAGATCCCTGTATTTTTCTCATATCTTAGGGTTAGAAAAAATGCAATATCATGCAGCCCTACTAAGTAAAGATTTATAGCAAAGACTGAAAATGTTCTAGCTTAAAATGAGATTGCATTTCTTTCTATGAAGTTTTATTTGCACAAATATAATAATATTGGTATCAGAGAGATAAAATGCTTTATATCTTATCACCTCCCTACTTAGGACCACTTTAGCAGCTGTGCTTGGTCCGTCATCTGACAGATGGTAATGGCTCATTTAGGCAAGGAGGAGCGTCACACACTGATTCAAACAGAGTGAGAGAGAGAGAGAGAAAGCTTAGTTTTAAGTCATTGTGTAACAACAAATCKTCCATGTTGAAAACCAGTTCTCCACTGGGAAAAGACAAAGTTAAAACTTAAACATTTATGTTTCTGTTCTTGTACATCAGAGACCTGCGACATAAAGAAATAATGAAACATGTGGCGAACTTCTGTCAGGCTAAAGACACGTGTCCTCTCCTSCACAGACCTCTGCAACGAGCCATACAGGAAGTTGGAGTCACAAGACGTTGCACAAGCAGGAAAAATAGCTTCTCAAAACCTAGCTTTTCTGTTCTATAAAACATTTCATTTCAGTAAAGATACGTACCGGAGCCAAAAATTCTCTAATCAAAAAAGGTAGTTTTGAACCTCTGCGGTATTGAACTCTTTGCTGCCCTTGCAGGATTGTATCTTTTTTTATTGTGTTTATTTCTGCAGTTTGTTGCTGCTTTATTCAAGGCGGACATGACAATTTTACAGTGAGAATTTATTTTTCAAAAAAAGATTTCATGTTGGTTAGAAAAACTGTATTTGTTGTTCCCTGGAGTCGTGTTTTACTGYACCGAGTGACAAAGAAGTGAACAAACAAAAGAAAAGAAGGCAACTGGGAGGATAAGAGGGATATTTTCACATCTAAAACCACGTCTTAGAGCCAATTTCTTGTTTATTAATCTYTAAAGTGTAAAGTTGAGGGTTATTTATACAAACATCTGTTTTTTTTTACCAAGCAAAAGATCAGAGCATGAGAACAAATAAACTCTTATCTGCTGTTCTGATAATGGGATGGACTTGAAGTTCCAAACAGATCAGGCCTGTGTGTGTTTTCAGCTTATTTTTGTGAGTTCACATAGCAGCCAAATGTGTGTGTGCGCGCACGAGTGTGTTTTATCTGAGCCTCTAATAGTCAGTATAATCCACACTAATCTGATCACATCCGCTGATAGATTACTGCAGATAGGAGCCAAGAGTTCACCGACAACACACTCCGAGGCAGGGGAACATCTGACCGCTGCACATTCAGAAATCAAACCAGAACAAATTCTAACAGGTTAAAAATCCAGATTAAATCTTCTTTCTGATTTGACAAACTGTGCCAATAATGGGATCAGCTGTGTGGATTTATTCCATCATAACATCACTTAAAAGACGGACGTAGACAGCAGGAAATCATTCATCAGGAATCAAAACAGGAAGAGATCTTTAAAAACGCTGATGGATAATAAAATGCGATAAYAGTACAAAATTAATCCAGGAAGTGTTACCGTAATTAAGGCTGTTTCATTTTTTTCTAAAGGAATATCTGATTGTGCACACACAACAAAATCTTGGATAAAC